CACACACCCAGCTCAGCATTTATCAGACCAGTTCTAATCTGGATTTACAAAGGACTTCCCTGCCCCCCCCAGCCTCTAAGCAGAAGTAAGTTTAATAGGCATCTCAGGCCTTACATTCCCCGGTCCCACTATGGGAGGCCTATTTAAACTTGATTGACTAAAACTCGGTTGCCTGGTTAGGGAATACTGAGGCAAATAGATCGAGTCAGAGGGGGTATGGGCAACATTTGAACAATGGTAAAGGGTTCATCACAGCGTCCAGCCGCTGGAGCCCTGACCACAAGTGTTGTTATACTTTTCCCAGGATGACTGGTGGAAGTCCTCTCCACAAAAGGTTATGAGCACTACAATAATTGCCTTAAGTCTGTTAAAAAACTATAGTAAGATCTGGAAAAGTCATGCTAAGCTGAGGCTTGTTCACAACAAGTAAAAATCCAAAACCTTGATGCTGCAAGCTATCTATTGTTTCTGAAGAAACCATGAGATCTCATCAGTATATCCGCTATCCATAAGAATTTCAATCTGGCTCCTAAGTGTCTGGTTGCTCACTAACCTTATGTTTTCCTGATTATCAAATCAGTTTTTTTGAGATCTTCCAAACCAAATAACCCCTTGTCAAGAGAAAAGACAAGAGCCTAGAAATGTATCCCTAATCAATGAACACACCCCAAAGTAATGGGCAAATCTGGTAACAGGATCAACACGGGTCATGATTGCTGCAATGCTGGAGTGGATGGAGTATTTCTGGTCCACTTTTGGGTTTGCCAGGGAGTGCGCTGGGGGTTGCCTCTTGCACTGCCCAGGCTTGGTGATCAGCCACAGGAGGACCCCAGGTACCTCCCCCAGATCCAGGAGGCACCAGTTGCTGAGCTCAGAGGGTGTGGGCGGGCCTCCCTGCACGCTCCCCAGTGGATCCAGAAGTGGACAAGAAGTGCTTCTGGTCCACTTCCAAGTCTGCTGCTGAGTGCACTGGGGGGGACCAAAGCTTTGCACAGCTCTACTATTTAACATGCATATTAGGGAAAGAGAAAAACAGTTGGATTAAGCAGTAAGATCAACAACTGTCCATGAGTTGCACTCCTACAGCCATATCATACCACCTTTTCAAGTGGAAATCTTATCTAAGGAAGGGTAAGGACTTGGGGATGGGGACTAGCAAGCCAAGCCAATGTTCCCTGTCAGACAGATTTGGAGAGAAGTGAAGTTAGATCTGATATTACTCTTTAGACATAGGTATGGGGAAGAGGTCCCAGACTGCTTGATGCCACTTGTTATTTTTGAGTGGCCTTGGGTTTTCCTTCCCCTAGTCTACTCCATACCTTTACATGAACTGGGAGCATGGAACTTTTCTATCAACCCACTGCTGCTCTGGGTATTTGAGTGAGTCTGTGGCTAGTGCCACTCCTCTCCTGTGGTAAAGGGAAGACAGAAGCTTTGCTATCCCTTCCTCATAAACTATTATTTTCTTTACTTATTATACAGACCAGGGAGGGGGCCTATTGCACTGGATCAGGTGTATGTGGGAGGAAACTTCTCCTAAGAGCAAAGGATTCTGGATGTAGCTGAGTCTGAGGGATGAAGTGCTTTTGTGGGAAAGTGGACATCACACATGCTAATGTAGTGAGGTCCGTGGGGCAGCTGCCAGCCCCAGTCAAGAACCAGGAGATTGTTGGAGATGAGAAGAGAAGAAAAAGAGGGAAAGAAAATTAGGTAAAGAAAGACTGTAGAGGGGACTAAGGTAGGTGGAGAGAGAGAGGAGGAACAACAGGATATGAAATGGATGGATAAAAAGAAACACCACCTAGAAACCTATATTAATCATAAAAAACAAAGGAAAGAAAGAAAAAAGATAAATTGTAAATTCTCTTTTTGCCTTTGCAGTGGAACATCATGCACCAAACTGAGCATTTTCCAAATTTTGTCCTTTGGAAAGAATGCTTCTTGGTCTCTCTACAAAGCTTTCTCTCTCTCAACCAATTGCTTAAGATTTGGTGGATTTCTCAAAAGATATTACCTAGGCTTATTCACTTATGAGTTAATTACTCATTTGTTAGTTATCTACTAATGACTTGACAGATTCTTATCATGCATAAATAGATTGGTTAAATAGAAGAAACATTAGCCAGAGTCAATGAAAAGCCCAAACAAGTGCACTCTGGGAGATAAATGTGGTTAGCAGTGCAGAAAGAAGATATTGGAGCCAGGATATTTTTTTCTCTTTTGATTTAGCCTTTTTGCTCAAATGTTAACACGTGCACTTAGTTCATTTCTATAAATGACTATGTTGGCCACTAGCATACAGGCTGCCTAGACTCTCATTCAGTACAAAAAATCCTCACAGCTCTTCAACAGTGTGCAAAATACACTAAGGAAGCACATGCTGGTTAATGTGAACAGAGTCTGAAATTCCTATATTCTCATCCCAGCTCTGACCAGTTGGTTTTGGATGAGTCACAACTTCTGATACTGTGGGAGAATCACAAATTTGTGGCTTAATTTCTGAAGTCTGCCATGAGGGCAAAAAACACATCTACTTTATTGTGTTTTTTAAAGCACAGATTTCTGAATGAGGTCTCTACATAGAACTCTATATCTTCAAAGTACTTTACAAATATTAGCTAATTAACTGAAGTTATTCAAAATCTTTCCATTAACTTAGACAGGAGCTGAATCACATCCTAAAACATAGGCTTACCCTACAACTGCTAGGACTCTTATGTACAAACAGCCTAACAATAACAAAAAACACATTCACTTGAAATTAAAGTGAAGGCAACAACCCTTGTGAGTCAAACTTAAAACTGAAGGTGAAAGGTTAACATATAGTCCCACGTTAAGCAGCTTTTCACTTTTCACTCCCATTTCACTATAGTGTTTTGGGCCTGGCAATGAAAACTACACTTGTGCTTTTGGGATCTTGGATGGATCCAATGATACAATTATCTTAACCACATAGGCAGTTTGGGGAAGTCAATACTAATCAACAGCTAGAGAGGAGACTATTATTACAAAAAAACCTTTAAGATGGAAGAAGTGAACAAAAAAAAAAATGTTGTCTGGCTTTGGGAACCTGGGACATATTTTTACTATTTCATGCTACAAGAGGAACAATGGTTGCCCAACATCACTGAGAAATATCAGAGCCTCGTATTCACCTGAAGGGGTAGACCCTTTTCAATCCTACTCTCCCTCAGTGACCATTTAGAATTTAGGAAGACAGATGACAATAGCACTTATTAAAAAAGCAATGCCAGTGTTTCCGGGAAAGTGATCTGCATCAGAAGAAATTGAACACCTTCTTCTCTTTTACCTGGAGGTCATTGAGATGGTTTACTTGGATTTTACAGGTGGGCAACTGCTGGCTACATCAGAGTGACTTTCATTTAGGAAATATACAAAGTAAATATAATATGCTGCTCTTTTACTGAGAAGGAAGTTCAAAATGGCAAATGACTCGCAGCATCAGTGGAAATGCAAACTTGGACTGACAGGGTTTTTCCCCTTTCCAATTAGGATGGATATCAAGAAATCAAACCAACTCCTGAGAGTTTAGAGTAAAGGAGATTTATGTTATTTCCATCAAAGAACTGCACAATACCTGTCTGCCAGAGAAATAGGTTTGTGAGATGTATATATTGTCTGCACAGTTGGGGTTGGGACAGTCTCAACCAAAGACCTCCTTGCAGGTGACAGAGCTACTGGTGATATCTTGGGAGACAACTGCACAGCACAACATTTTAATTTGTTGTCAGTAAATTCTGCCTAAAAAGAAGAGATAAAAAGGGTAGATTAGTTTCTACTTTTTATGCCCATTTTCTCTATACCATTTCCATTTTCATTATTATCAGATTTCCTCTAATAAAGCAGGTAAAGGAAAGGCTACCACTATAGCAGCTAATGACCTCAGAACTAGGAAGTAACCCTTTTAGATGATGATGCAGACACTCCTTTTGGTAGAGGTTGACAGTGGTACACCATTAAGGAGTCTGATCAATAAAGAGGACTACAACACCGAACTCAATTTACAGTACCTTCCATTGATAGCACTTGGAACAAATACACACCCACACACTAAAAAATAACATTTATCACTATTTAATTTAATCTAAAGCCATTATAAGGAGTATCCAAAAGGGTCAGCTTGGCATTCTTATCTCTTAAATGGAGCCCCATCAAAGTTAGCTATTAAGTCTTTGGAAAATACTATAGGAGAGTCTGGGTCTAAAAGTTAGATGGAGTAAACCATGCCCTAAAACTATTATTCATTGGCAACTAGTGACTGGACGCACAGTCAATACATCAGCATAAAGTGCACAGAGAAATAACCACATTCAGACTAGACCCATCTTCAAATACAATAACATACTATCACATCACCTATTTTGTAGTAGACTGTGCAGCATTCCAGACCCACTATTTGCATAGGACCATTTCTAACAACAGAGAATGGCCACTGTCTGCTTGTGAGTGTGATACAGAACTGGTAAGGACACACAGTAATTACAGTTCTCCAATACTTCAGAAGAGCCAGGAAAATGTTCACACTTATTAGCTGCATTCCTTTCTTGACTATCAATCTTCCCTTACAACTTTGGTTCAGTCATCACAATCATAGGGAGAGACATCACCACACCAGTGAAGCAGAGAATGTTATCTAACTATTGTTTAGATTTTTTTCATCATTTTTCAAGTGATCTGAACCACCTAGTATTAACATTCAGTGAATAAACTTGTGGAGCTACAGACCTGTATGCATTCTGCTGCTTAATTCAGTATGCAATTTATTTGCATTTGGGAAGGAGCTGCTGTAGATTTTGCTTCTAACATTTCCCAGCCTCCACCCACATCTTAACTGAAAGCATATAGTACATTCTGGTTGAACAGTCAGGATGAGCCATTCCTTTCATTGTACAAATGCAGTACAATGAAATCCAATATAACATAAAACAAAACCAAATAACTAGCAGGAACGAACAAGCATAACCTCCAAACCCATCAACTTAAATTCCTAAATATTAGCAAGCATAAGCCATACCTCTAGCATTTAGCTTTGAAAGGCCAATCACAGAGTCCACAGACAAGCAAACACTGAAGTCCATATTCAGGGGGACCAGATCAAGCTTTTTATAATTAAATAATGATACCAGGCTCAAAACCTTACCGGGAGTAAATGGCTAAAGTCTTACTGAATTAGGGATCTGAAACAATTTATACTTGCTGAGGATCTGAGCCCTTCTTTTTTATCTATCTATATGTATTATAAAAATATATACACATATACACGTAGTGTAATTGCTTCTTTCTCTCTCACATTTATATACATATGTTTATATGCATTTGGCTAGGTACTTAGGTGTTATAAATTGACCCATCTCCATTAAAATCAATAGATGTATGCTGACTTACAGCATCTGAGGAACTCATCTATCTAATTCACCTGCAATTTCTATGATAGGCTTAGAAATATTACCATGAATAAATTCAATTGTTAAGCGCTTCTATTTTAAATAGTCCACTTTAATCACAGGTAAAACTCAAATAGCAACACTTTCCTCCTATTTTTCACAAAGAAAATAATTTTAGCTCTTTATACACTGTGGAATTATAAAACAAAGATAAACAAAAGACAGAGGTCTCCAAAACTCTTTGCTTTTAATACTTTGGGAGACATTTTTGGTTCCAAAACACATTTTTAAAGAACAAACAACATAAACATTTTTGCAGGCTGTTCATAACATGAAAAGAAAGTGAGGAAGAGGAACAGAAAGGAAAAAGCAAATGAAGCACAAACATTTGCAGCCAACCAGGAGTGTGTGTAACTACAGAACATTTAGAGTCTGGTTACAGGATTGGGGGTTCACTCTTACAAATTTCCCCCAATTGCATTTGTCTGTGTTATTTTATAGGTGTCTCTAAATACTGGGTGATATCTAGCATGATTGTTGTGCTATAGTAAATTTAAAATCAACTAAGCAGAAACAGATCGTTCTGGGCTGACCGATCTCCACATTTAAAGCTCTGGGGCAGAAACAATCTTATATAGAATTATGTCTGAATTAACTTATCTTACTTCCCTATTTTTTTCCTTTCCATGAAATCACTTGGGAATATCCTGGTTCACTAAAGATACCCCCAAATGCCTACTTCTGCAATAGTAGAATACCACTGTAAATCACAATCCAGGGTTTTTGTAAGTGTTTGTAATGCTACTTGGTGGCATTTTTCAGTGAACCAGGATTTCAGAGAGACAAGTGACAGTAGAATTGTAAAAGGTTACCAAAAACTTGAGTATGTAATGCTCCCTTCCATTCTCTTTCACTCAACTGAGTACAAATAGTAAAAGTAATTAAAAAAAATATCTCATGGAGTTTTCCAGAGAAATTTTCAAGTTTTCATGGAGAAAGTGAATATTATTCAGTTTCAATTTCCAATATTTCATTATAATTTTTCACAAGGAAAAAGTAACTTTGTGATGATCATTACTCATTTGTGAGGGCAATGCTCTGCACAGATTTCTGTGCATAAGACAATGTAACATTTGATCAGGGACACAAATGTAAATGGCTGCCTTTTAATTTTACCACTGTGCAACCTGAAGGACTTTCAAGACCTTCCAAAACATACTTGTTGAACAGGCTGGTTTCACATGTTCCAATAAATCTGTTTGGATATTTCTAATTGGAAAAACAAAATTGACATGAACAAGGCTTGGGATAAATTTTAACTTCTCTTAGAAGATGGCTTAAAAGTCTACATTTGAGTGAAAAACAGAATATTTGGATTAAAGCCTGAAATAATATGGTTTATCACTGAGGCAAAATTTCTCTTTCCATTCACTATATTAAAAAAGATATTGAAATGACTGAAGTTAACTTCTATACCCTATGAAAGAAAAAACAGACTGGACCTCAGGACAGAAGTTCTGGTTAAAGTGTGAATTGCTTCATTTTATGAATTTAATTTAGAAACTTCAGGTTAGCAATTCTGTTTTATAATTCTAATCTGGGGAGGTTCCTTATAGGTCTCATGGTGGAAGGATATAAAGTAGGGGTGTGCGAAACAGGCCCTATTCGATTCAGATTTTGCTTGAATCAGGGATAGCGATTTGATTCATTGATTCAGATCGCTGTCCCTTATTCAATTTGGCTGAATCCAAATCTGAAGATTTGATGCTGATTTGGAGAATCAGTGATTTGGACACAGACACAGCTTTAAAAGTTTTTTCTACATACCTCAAGGTACCAGGTGTGGCTTGTGAACGCTGCGATACTCAGGTGGAGGGAGCGTCCCACAGGAGTGCAGGGAGGCCCTCCACGTGCTTGGCGGTGAACCCAGAAGTGGACCAGAAGTACTTCTGCATGGGGACCCTCCCCCCCATATCTCCCTGGCGCAGTGATCAGCCCTGGGGGCACCCCAGGTGCCCCCCCAGATGCAGGAGGCACCAGTTGCCGAGCTGGGAGGGTGCAGGGGCCCCCCCACGCGCTCCCTGGCAGACCTGGAAGAGGACCAGAAGTGCTTCTGGTCCACTTCTGGGCCTGCTGCCCAGTGTGCTCCCCCCGCGCTTCTGTGGGAAGCTCCACGTACCCCAGCATTGCCGCATTGATGAGCCGCCTGCTACCTAGAGGTATGTAGAAGAAACATTTAAAGCTGTGTCTATGTCCGAATCGCTGAATCTTTCCGAATCTCTCCAAATTGATTCAGAGGGTTCCGATTCAATTCAGAGAGATTCAAGGGTCCCTCTGGTTCGATTTGGAGATTCGGCCACCAAATCGGGCTGAATCTCCACCGAATCGAATCAGGGACTGAAGCTTCACACAGCCCTAATATAAAGTACATTACAGACAGAGTTCCAAACGTTGTGTCTAATGGTTCAGGCTAATTTTAAACGCTTTCTTAAATGTCTAAGTTATCGTATTTATTAGATTCATATAGCTACTGAAAATTGGGCGTAAAGGGCTCTGTTCTTTTAGAGATATCATACTTTGTTTTCTACTGTTATACAGTAACTATCCTCATGTGTGTGACAATGAGTCTTCTTACTCTTTTCTCAAGCAAATCTTTCTCTATGATTTGTCTCTCAGTTATTAACTACCCTAGGAGTTCACACCTACAAGCTACCATAGTCAACAAATGTATTTCTAAGAAATATTATTCTTTATTTCATTTCAGAATGCAAGCTTTTATGCAAGTTATGTGCTTTAGATAAAATAAAGGTTTGTGAAGGGGACTAAGGCAAGGCTTCCATTTAATGTAGAGATGCCTGTACGCTGCACAGCCCCTGTCTGTTCATGAAGAATCTGTGCAGTGTCACCAGTGCGCTATGCAGTACAACTGTGGGAGGTACAACAGCATTTGGGGACTCTGGCTGCACTGGAGTTTCACCTTAATTCTTATAATTCTTTCTAGTAAACTCTAACATCCTAACAGAAACAAGTTTATTGACCTGGGTATTGGATTGACTTGATGCCTGTGACCTATGTGGAATGTTATCTTCGCTGAGGATGGTTAAATTTCTGACATTCAGTTAAAGAATAATCTGGATTTGCAAGTGCTGTGTAAAATACACAGTTTTTCAGTTGCATGTTTTACTTACAGAAAACTGTGGTACTGTTGTAAAAGGATCGAAAAAGGGATTAGATGTATCAGCAGGGAATGTCTTTATCTTTAAAAAAGATAAAGAAAAAGATGTTACTTTCAGAGCATAAAGATGAAAAAAAAAGCAACACATCTGACAAACTAGACAAACTAGAATGGTTCAGCAGCACTCAAATCAGCCCGCCTCAAAATGCATACGTAAGCGCTAATGGTGAATATTCAAAAGATAAATATGAAGACCTGATTGAATTATTTTACCCATGTAATTATATCTATTGTGAAATAGCTCATGTAAGCAGATTCTGAACTGACTGCATACAATACATCTTCCAATTTTGTAAAACACTCATTACATTTAATTATCTGGCTTGCTCTACTGAATACTGTGCATTTTGAATAGGTAACATTAACTTTAGTGGCAACAGTCCTTACATGGTGTTAGCTACAGCCAGAGGCTTCTATTAAAGAACTTATGTTTTATGTAGTCCAGGCTCCCATGATTTCAATATGTACAGCTAACATTAACAGGTGGCATAGTACAGGCAGGTCTGAATACTGCAGAATATTGAAGCAGACAGGACCAAAAGAGAGCATTAAAAATGACTGAGGGCAACCGACTGGTAATCACTGCCACTGGCAATATTAAGATCTGCAATTCTATGCATTACAAATGACTGGCTGAGAACAAACAAATCTCTCAGGAGACGTTAACAAAGGAGCATTGACATTACAGATCAGAGACCATTCACTTGCTTTGTGTCTGCACAGAGAAGTATAAGAATTCTTAGTGTGGAATTCAGATAAGTCCCTGATGGAAATTGTTGCTGGGCTTAATGACAACTTGAACGCTGGATGAAATAAAAAAAAATTAAACAAATAGCAACAAAGCACTACCTTTTTCTTTACTCAAATAGAGGTGGGGGAAAGGATTTCTCAAGTACAAAATATTGATTTTGACCTGCACTTCCATCCTTGCCAGACAATATATATTTTTATTTTATAAACTGTAAAGGCAGTTTTTGTTCCTCTTTATTGATGAAAGTAACACATGTTAGCTTACAAAGCACGTCTTCAAACATAATGCTAATTTAGTAACAGGTATTTAGCAATGAACTGAGGAAGCATTGAGCCAACTGTAATAGAAAAGAACACCTGAAATTATAAGATGCAATGTAATGAAGAAAATGTATATCATTTACTTTCTAAACAAACAACCAAACCATATTTTGTTGCAAATATACCAAACAAAATTCAGCTCATCTGTTGTCCAACGTGCACATAGACACATATACTTAATCGTGGAACAGTCAAGCATTCTTCCATGTAAGTGGTATTGGATTCCATAAGGACGTTTAATTATGTAATCCCTCATTAACACCATGGGCATGGCTGTAAACTCATCATATGAGCAGACAACTGTGTAAGCAAATACTTTAAAGCACGAACAGATCTGTCTAAAGATACCGAAGGAAGGGGACATTTTAGATATTACATAAAGACCGATGTGTCCACGTTCCATCAGCAAACTGAATGCTGAGAGAGTAAGTGTAATCTTTGCCATTCATTTAATACACTAGGCAAATAATACCACCTAGAAAATCTGTCATAAGTATATCTGTCAATAGCCAAATATGGAAATACAACACGAGTGATTATAACGTGGCTCTGTCACCTAAGAGACGAATAAATAGCCAGGAGTCAATCCTTTCACACATGATTTATAAGGTATTTAACATTTCAGTATTACTTAGTGTTTGGTTATAACTCCGCTTATAACTTAGTACCATAGTCAGTCAAAGGGAATTGTACAAAATTAAAATTAGTTGCTCAGATCTAGCATAAGCTTTATACATTTCAACCAAAATCTATCTAATTTCATGAATTGATTTTACCAAGAGAACCATGTTTAGTTAATGGAAGCAGATTGGAAGAATGACGCCAACATTATTCAAATGCCTATTAAAATATTGTTTAGAAGCACATTAGAAAAGTTAGTCTTGAATATATGTGGAGTGTGACAGTGATGTGGAACAAAGTATCTTGTAAAATCAGAAGCACATATTGTGTGACAAAACACAATGCACATTAGTTGATCTTGTTCAGCTTTAAGCATGTTCTTATTTGGGGGAGTTATTTAATCAGGAAACAGGATTCCAGTAAAACAAATTCAAGGGTTCTTGCACGTCTCCAAGCTGCCTTTTGCAGACATCAATCAACCCAACCAAAAACAGCTATGGAGGAATGTAAAACTCATGTTTGTGCAGGACATTGGAGCCAGAAACAGAAGTCATTTGGCCCACACACCCATGTTCCTTCTCTCTCTTTTTCTAACTGAGAAGAGTCCAGTTATATCTAACCAGCAAAACATATCTGATTGTCCAGACTGTGCCTCAGTAAGAATGAAGCTGCTGTTTCTCACAGGGAAAGTAGAGAGAAGGAACTTGCACTGCTTTGTTAAAAATAGCTGAAGGGTTTTCCCCCTTCTCTCATCTAACGGGGATTTGGCTGTTCTGAACAGGGAAACAGGCAGCGAGTCCTAAATATCCTTTTCAGACTGATATGGAGCAGACCTAGGAAGATATGATAATGAATGTGGGGAAAGTGGGTCAAGAAACTGGCTACTGTGCAGACCTCTCAAATGCATTTTGCCCAGGAGCCCAGGTTTGGTCCTGGCTCTGCATGTTCCCCAATAGCCTTGCAGTCTAGAGGGATGACAGCAGTCACTGGTTGCTGCCAGCTGGCGGGAAGAGGAAACCCCTGAATGTAACTAAACACAGCTGAGTTTTCAGGAAATGAACCAGTTCCAGGCCTGAATCTCTTTCAGGCTGTGGCTCAGATGAACACAAACACTCGAAAAAACACAAAAAGCAAAGCAGTTCTGATCAGAAGATGAGAGAGGGGCTGGAGGTTTCTCTCTCCTTGCCTCTCTACCTGTCCTTAAAAACATACCCCCCCACCTTTCTTTGAAACCTATGCTGAATCAGGTGACAGGCAGGCAGATGTTAAATCTTCCCTGGCAGCATTACACGGTCGCAGCAGCTTGCACCCACTTCAGGGCAAGGGACTCTTAAAAGATGCCAACTGCTTCATGCGGGGCATGAACGACACGTGCCCCTGGCGGCTGGGGGGGCATGGCGGCAGCACGGTGGCGGTAAGCAGGGGAGCTCCCGCAGATGCCGCTGGCAGTGAGTGGCGAGTGACCTTTTTGCAGGGGGTACACCACCATACTCAGGGGATGCACATGCACCCACATGCACCCCCTATGTGTCATCCCTGAGGTGGGGGATCAGACACAGGAAAGCCAGTGGCACAGAGAAAGGTTCTGTGGAGCCAATCCCATGACTTACACTGAGTATACTGCTGCCCTGTCATTTTCTAAGGGTGGTCTGTGCAGGATAAAAGGAATAGGGGACAGGAAAGAGGACATGGACTGTTGAAAGAAAGATCAAGGGAAGACTGAATGATGGCGGAGGAAGAAAAAAAATGAAAAAGGACAATAAAGGACACTTTTTTTGTTGCATGCTGTGCTACAGCTGACAAGTTAAAATGGCTTTTAAAGATAAAATCAATTTCTAAGGAGGTTTTCCCTCTGCATGAGTCAAAACAGCTTTGTAATCTGAGTTACAGTGAGCATATACCTGTTAAAACTGGTCTAATAATTCACTGGCAAGTTAGACTGATAATAAAATCGAGTGGTTCCACATACTGGCCCTTCCTCTCATTTTTTGATGGCTTGAACACACCCTGGCAGGTTTGGAGCTTGAGAATTATGACTGCATTACCATAGCAAAAGTGCTTTGGACAAATGTGCCCTGATCCAATACTACGTCTGGCAATTCAAGAATTTGCCAGATTTTACAGAACACTCAATGAGTAAAGCAAACAAATGAAGAAGCAAAAACCCCTAACCTGTACATGATTTCAGAATAAAAATCTACTGTCCGGTGAACTGTAAGGGGATTAATTTGAAAACATGCCATACAACAAAATATCCATGCTGCTTTTGTGGGAAAATAAACGAAATTTTGACCTTCAGCAGGCAACTTTTCTAGAGGCATTAACACTCTTCCAGCAGCACAGAAGCAGTTGGGTAGATCATTAGTGGTATCACATTATAAATCTATTACTATCAGTTTTGTGTTAATGCCTGTATTGCAAAGGGGGATGAGGAAAGATTAAACAAAGAATGAAGGGAAGAAAGGAGGGAATCATTTTTTTCTGATT